CAGCAGGAAGTATTTTTGTGGGGGGTGGGGAGAGTTTTGTTATAGGGTGTGTGTGCTTGCTGGAGGGACAGAGAGAAAGTGAGAAGTCACCCCCGGGGGGGATGGCCATGCCTCAATCCCTTCTCCCCTGTTCTCTTGGGATTTTGGGCATGCATACACACATGTCCCATGTGAATTTTAAACTACTATGTGCAGTACTTGAACTGCAGTTGTCTACATGGGAGTCCGGCAACTTAACCATTATGTCATCTGCTAGGGAGCAGGGAGAATTTTGCTATGTCTGAAGACTTGCTTTTAATTCTCCACTTTGGTGGGGTTTGCTATTGGCATCTAGTGAGTGGAGGCCTTCATAGTTTTGGATTTAGTTCATGTCTATGGTGAGGCCTGAGAATTTGCGTTTTTGCAAGTGTCTGCTAGAGTGAATGTGTTCATCGAGAGATGGAAAGAAAAAAAGAAAGCCCCTCCCATGGAGGATGGTCATGCTGCAATCCCTACATGTCTTCCTCAAAGGATTTTATTTTTTTGAGAGGTTTTCGCTATAGGGCGCGTTCGCTCGCCAGACAGACAGACAGAAAGAGAGAAATCACCCCCCAGAGGGGATGGCCGTGCTGCAATCCCTTCTCCTCCATTCTCCTCTTGGGATCTTGGGCATGCATGCACACGCGCCCGGCATGAGTTTAAGCCACCGGGTCCGGGACTCGAACCGCAGTCAACCACGTGGAAGTCCAGTGACATAGCCATTACGCTAACTGCTAGTCCCTTCCTCAAAGGATTTTGGGCACACCCTGCCTGTGTGTTTCTCAAGCTGCCTGGCCCAGGACTCAACACAGGGTTGGCCGTATGGTATCCAACTATTTTAACCACCAGGCCACAGAACCAGCTCATAATTTGCATTTTCCTCTCTTTAGTAGACTATAGTTTATTTTATTTAAAAAATGTTTTTTTAAAGAATTATTTTATTTATGTAATTCAATTTGTTGTTATTATTTTAATTTGGCCAGAGAGAGACAGAGTAAGGGACAGTGAGAAAGCAAGTCACCAGGTCCAGGACTTGAACTGCGGTTGGCCATGTGGGGAGTCCAGTGCCTTTAACCACCATGCCACCTGCTGGCCCCTCAGTTTAGCTTATTTTTTAACACCCATCATGCTGTGAGTTCATAGGGAATAGGTTCCAGAAGCTCAGGCTCTTTCCCATTGGTCCTCACAAAGTGTGCTTCTCTGGGTGGAGCAGGCTGGCACTTCATTCTAATCCAGGTCCCTTTCTCTTTGGCTTCCTTCTTTTTCTGGTCATTTTCCTTTACACGTTTTAGGAAGCTATCTCTGTTCTTAGAATGCTCAATTTGCATGTTAAGTCTTTTGGCAAGAATCTTGTCCTGAACTTGTTTGTCTATAACAATGCCAATAGCATGCTGGGTAACATTGTGGACTCTCAGTTTCACCATGGTGACATTTGTGGGGCATTCCCTTGATGTCTACAATATCATCTTTCTTACAGATTTGCATGTATTTTGCCAAAGGAAATTATAATTTAGGGGCCAGCAGGTGGCGTGGTGGTTAGGGGCACTGGACTCCCACATGGTTGACCATGGTTCGAGTCCTGGACCTGGTGACTTTCTTTCTCACTTTCTCTCTTGCTCTGTCCCTCTCTGGTCAAAATGAAATAAAATAAATGAGTAAATAAATAAAGTTAAATAAAATAATTTTTTAAAAAAAGAAATAATTTAATTTTATTTACTGTTCTTCTCCAATTTGACCAGAGCGAGACAGAGCAAGCCACCAGATTTGGGACTCAAATCACATCAGCTATGTGGGAGTCCAGTGCCTTAACCACCATGCCACTTACCAGCCTAATGTCCCTTTTTAACAGTCCCCTGATGCAGACTTCAGTCTGAAGTGGTACTTGTTCAGTGGTGTAATAAGGTTACGTCAGGAGCTTAAGCTTCAGAGGCTATCACACCCAGTACCCTGACGTCGTTGTTTATTAATGGAGTGCAGTGGCTTTAGCCATTTTTGAAGTGCAGTGATGGGATCAGCAGGTGGTGTAATGGTTATGTCGCTAGACTACCATGTAGTTGACTGCAGTTTGAGCCCTGGACCTGGTAGCTCAAAACTCACGCCAGGTGCTTGTGTGTGTGCTCAAAATCCTGAGAGGAGAATGGAGGAGAAGGGATAGTGGCATGGGCATCCCCCTGGAGGGTGATTTCTCTCTCTCTCTCTCTCTGGTGAGCATACGGTGACATACAGCAAAAAAAAAAACCTCTCTAAAAATAAAATTTTAGGGGCTGGCAGGTGGTGTGGTTGTTAAAGGTGCTGGATTCCCACATGGCCAACCACGGTTCGAGTCCCAGACCTGGTGGCTTGCTTTCTCACTTTGGCCTCCAGTGGGCTTGGAGGGAGCATAGCCTGAAGCTGTGGCCTGTGTGCTTCACAGGTGTGTCCTGGCCAGTAGTTTATACACAATCTCCTTCGGCTGAGCGCATTCCCAGAGTGATTTTCTTTTTCTTTTTTAGGAACAAAAAGTTACCCTTCTGTTTGTACTGCCTCCTTCCACACCAGCGCCTCTCTGGCCAAAGAAGATTATTACCAGATATTAGGAGTGCCCCGAAATGCCAGCCAGAAAGAGATCAAGAAAGCCTATTACCAGGTTTGTACAGAAGTCCGATGGTAGTGATACGATTGTTGAAGGAGTGCTGTTGGTCTGGTCTGACCCTGCTCAGTGGCATGCCTGTGCCCACATGGGTGTAGGTTGCATGCAGCTCATCAGCTCGGTATAGAATGATGTGGTAAAGGCAGCCCTCACTGGACTGTTGTCTTCAGCACGCAGTGTTTGTTGCCTGTGGTGGTGAATGCCCCCCAAAAAGGAAGGTCTCCAGACCAGTGAATTTTCTTTTATTTTTAAAAATAATTATGTCTTTTTTTAGAATTATTTTATTTAACTTTATTTATTTGTTTATTTTTTGGAGAGGTTTTTGCTATAGGGCATGTGACAGAGAAATACAGAGAAACAGAAAGCGAGAAATCCCCAGGGGCCATGCCGCAATCCCTTCTCCTCCATTCTCCTCTCGGGATCTTGGGCACACACACACACGCGCCTGGCGTGAGTTTAAGCCACCAGGTCCGGGACTGGAACCGTGGTTGACTACATGGGAGTTCAGCAACATAGCCATTATGCTAACTGCTGGTCCGTATTTATTTATTTCAATTTGACCAGATAGGGACAGAGAGAGAGAGAGAGAGAGCGAGAGAGAAAGCCACCAGGTCTTAGACTTGAACTATGGTTGGTCATGTGGGAGTCCAGTGCCTCCAGCCACCATGCCACCTGCCGGCCCCCTATTTTATGTATTATTATTTTATAAAATTTGATCAGAGAGAGGGAAAGTGAGAAAGCAAGCTGCCAGGTTCGAGACTTGAACCACAGTTGGCCATGTGGGAGTCCAGTGCCTTAACCACCATACCACCTGCTGACCCCCAGACAAGTGATGTTTCAGTTCCTTTTTCTAAAGCTATTTTTGTAATTAAATTTTTTTCTTTCTTTTTTTTTACGAATTATTTTATTTAACTTTATTTATTATTATTATCATTATTATTTTCCAATTTTGATCAGAGAGAGACAGAGAGAGAAGGAGGTAGTGAGAAAGTAAGACACCAGGTCAGAGACTTGAACTGTGGTCGGTCATGTGGGAGGGAGTTCAGCACCTTTAACCACCACACCACTTGCTGGCCCCATGTAATTAAATTTTTTTTTTCTGAATCAGTAGGTATGCTGGGCTATATTTTTAGGTACCTTTTTTGCAAGTAGATAAAAATCTATGTTTTTAGAATTAGTTCATTTTTTAAAAGAATTATTTATTTATATATATATATATATATATACACACACACACACACACACACACACATATATATTTTCACATGAGTTTTGCCAGGAAAGACAGAAAGGGAGAGCTAGAAAGCAAGCCTCCAGATTCAGGACTCGAACCATGGTCGGCCATGTGGGAATTCCAGCGCCTCAATCACCACACCGCCTACTGGGCTCGAATTAATTCATTTTTAAAGTTTATTTTTACATTTCTTCCATGAGTCACAGAGACATAGAGACAGAGATGTGCAGAGTCCTGATACTGCACCGTACCCCCACCCTCAAACAGCTCTGGATCCCGGGTACATTGGGGAGGTCCCTGGATGCAAACCCAGAATTCTCCCATGTGGGTCAGCCTCAAAGGGCAGTCACACTTCACTGTGGACTCATTGGCTTTTATTTCCTTTCTCAACCCAGAAAATACGAAGTTCCTGTTATATCTTAGAATTTATCAGAGCTAATTAAGTGATAAATGAGGGTTAGCCTGTGGCATGCTGGTTATGGTGCTGGATCCCACGTGGCTGGAGGTGTGTTTCGGTTCTAGACCTGCCGTTTGAGAAACATCCTGAGTGCGTGTGCACGGTGTGCCCAAAATCCCAAAAGGAGGGAATGATAGAGTAGAAGGCATTGCAGTGTGACCGTTCCCCTCTCCTACAAGTGCAGGTGTCCTCAGTGAGAGTTACAGAGAGAAGGGAAGGAGGAAAGTGATGTGTGAGATGTCTGGCCAGTGGTTTCCAGACTTTGGGTTTGCTCCAACAATAAAGTAAAATAAAAATTGGGGGAACCAATGTAGAATGAACAGCTTTCTTTCCTTTCTTGTTTTAAAGAATTATTTTATTTAACTTTATTTATTCATTCATTCATATCAGCTTGACCAGAGAGGGACAGAGGGAGAGAGAAAGTGAGAAAGCAAGCTGCCAGGTCTGTTTGTTAACGTTTTAACCTATATTTTGAATAGGTAATAATGTACCATTTATTCAGATTTCCAAAGTTCAGAGGAGCATACAGTAAAGTCTTCCTCCTTCCCATTGATCCATGCCTCTCCTTTAGCAACCAGTCTTACCAGTTTTTTTTTTTTAACATGTTTCCAAAGACAATCTGTACAGCATATATTCCTATTTAGCCAGTTATTTTCTCCCCTTTTACCTAAACATTGGTATAGCAGACACAGTGTTCTGTACCTTGCTTTCACAACGGTACCCAAATTCTAAACAGCTAGTTATTTTTAGTAGTGGATCATCGTGGTTGAGAAATGTGTACATATGTCACATTTGAAGAAATTATTTGTTGTCTTTTTTTTTTTTAAGAGACATATTTGCTATAGGGTGCGTGCAGTCCCTGAAGAGACAGAGAGACAGAAAATAAGAAATCACACACACACACCCTGCCGGGGGGGATGGCCACGCTGCAATCCCTTCTCCATTCTCCTTTTGGGATTCTGGGCATGACGCACATGCGCCTAGTATAAGTTGTTTTTTTTATTTTTAAATCTTTATTTATTGTAATTTAACCAGAAAGGGACAGAGAGCGAGAGAGAGACAGAAGGAAAGTGAGAAAGCAAGCCACCAGGTCCGTTACTCCAACCGCGGTTGGCTATATGGGAATCCAGTGCCCCTAACCACCATGCCACCTGCTGGCCTCATGCCAGCCGCCAGACCTGAAACTTGAACCACAGTTGACTACATGGGAGTCCAGCAATGTACTGTTACGCCTTCTGCTGGTCCCAATTTGTTATTGTCTTGACTCTTGTTTTTAGTATATATTTTTAGGGCCAGCCAGTTGTGTGGTAGTTAAGGTGGCTGGATCCCACACGGTCAACTGTACAGTTCAAGTCCTAGACCCAGAAACCTGAAAATAAGTCAGGTGTGTGTGCCCAAAATGCCCAAAGGAGGACGAAATGGAGGAGAATTGTGCCATGACTGTTTTGCGTGGGAATGATGTCTCTCCCTCTCTCTCCGGCATGCATTCGCCAGAGAGAGGGAGGAGAAGGCACTTCCCACGGGGGCACGATTACACAGCAGCCCCTTATCCGCTGTCCTCTCCCCAGGATTTCAGGCAGCATGCACCTGGCATGTTTCCCAGGCTGCTGAGTTGTGACTTGAACCACGTAGTTCTCCACAGGAGATCCAGCTGCCTCAACCACCACGTCATGGCTGGCCCTGTGAAGACTTCAGGCACACATGCACATGCATCCATTATGTTTTTCAGGCCACTGGGGCCAGGATTCAAACCATTGGACTATGTGGTATCTGACTTTTCTTAACCACCAGGCCATGGGACTGGCCCAGAATCTTGTTTCAAGAATTGCTGTTGGGGAACCAGCAGTTAGCGTAATGGCTATGTCGCTGGACTCCCATGTAGTCGACCGCAGTTCACGTCCCGGACCCGGTGGCTTAAAACTCATGCCGGGCGCGTGTGCGTGCGTGCCCAAGATCCCGAGAGGAGAATGGAGGAGAAGGGATTGCAGCGTGACCATCCTCCCGGGGGGTGATTTCTCTCTTTCTGTCTCTATGTCTCTCTCTGTCTGTCTGGCGAGCGCACGCGCCCTACAGTGAAAATCTCTCCAAAAAAAAAAAATAGAATTGCTGTTGGTTGCTACAGCTTAAGAGAGACAACCGTTGGATAGGATGCATAACTGTGACTGCATTTTGGGGTTCTGTTTTAGTAATCATCTTGTTTCTGTAGTAATTTGCTGTTTTCCCCCTTAGCTTGCCAAGAAATATCACCCTGACACAAATAAAGATGATCCTAAAGCCAAGGAGAAGTTCTCTCAGCTGGCAGAAGCCTATGAGGTCAGTGACGTGTGGATGGAGTCATTTGTACAGCGCCTGCAGGAGCCACTTTCCTTCACGCACAGAGCGGTCTGGTGTGTCATGTGGCCCAACCTGAAGGCTGTGGCCCTCCACCAAATCACCTTAGGAAGGAGGATTCCTAGGTCTCATGCTAGGTCTACTGATTTGGAATCTCATTGACAACTCGATCCCATAATCTGTATTGGTAAAGCTGCCAGGTAACTCAGACTTGCAGCTGAGTATGGGAACTGCTAGTTGGATTAATTAATTCAGCCCTTATTTAATGATCTCTGCCCCTGTACTTGGGGCATCACCACCTGTTAGGGAATTTGGGGGTTGAAAGTGGAGCTTCTCTAGACTGAGCATCCTGTAGGGCTTGGGATGTACAGGAGTTTTGTTTTTTCCCCAGTTTTTGCAATAGGGCGTGTGGGCTCACTGGAGGGAAACAGGCACAGAGAAAGAGAGAGAGAAAGTGAGAAATTGCCTCCCAGGGGTGGTGGCCACACTAATCCCTTCTATGTTCTCCTCTCAGGACTTCAGACACACATGCGTAACATAGTCTTTTAATTTTTTTAAGATTTATTGACTTTATTATTTTTAATTTGTCATAGGGCATGCACACTCACCAGAGAGAGAGAGAGTGAATGAGAAAGCAAGCCGTCAGGTCCAGGACTTAAACTATAGTTGGCATCTTTAAACTGTAGTCGGCCATATGGGAATCAAGCACCCCATCACACCGCTTGCTGGCTCTGCCCAGCATGATTTTTAAGCTGCCAGGTCCAGGACTTGAACTGCATAGTGAGCCATGTGGGATCCACCAGCCTTAATCTCCATGCCATCTGCTGGCCTGATATGTAGGAGATCGCTTATCCGTAAGATAGACAGCTACATAGTAGATCAGCCTTAACTCAGTAAATATTAATTTAATGAATGTCTTTTCCCCTGTCAGTTTCATCTAATGAACAATGTATCTGATAGTATTGGGTTGCCAGGAAAGTAAATTTTTGCACAGAAAAACATAGAGGGGGCCAGCAGATGGCGTCGAGCTTTAAGTGTTGGACTCCCACATGGCAGACCACAGTTCAAGTCCTGAACCGAGTGGTTTGAAACTCATGTCAGGCACATGTGCATGCATGCTCAAGATCTTGAGAGGAGAATGGAAAAGGGATTGCAGGGTGGCCATCCCCATGGAGAGTGATTTCTCACCTCCCCTCTCACTGTCTTGGTGTGTATCTCTCTTGTGAGTGCCTGTGCCCTAAGGCAAAAACCTCTTTTTTTTTTTTTTAAAGAATTGTTTTATTTAATTTTATTCATTCATTCATTTATTTTAATCTGACCAGAGAGAGACAGAGAGGAAAGTGAGAAAGCAAGCCACCAGGTCCAGGACTTGAACCACGGTCAGCCATGTGGGAGTGTCTGGCACCTTAACCACCACGCCACCTGCTGGTCCCGGCAAAACCTCTTAAAAAAAAAAAAGAAGGAAAACCAGAAAAAATACATCATGACTTTCCCAAAGACCTGATATAATTTAAAAAATAATATTTATTTAATTTTATTTATTCATTTATTTATTTTAATATGACCAGAAAGACACAGAGCGAGAGAAAGTGAGAAAGAAAGCTGCCAGATCTGGGACTGGAACCATAGTTGGCCGTGTGGATGTCCAGAGCCTCAACCACCATGCCACTTGCCAGCCCCAACCTAATATTTTTAGGCAATATCATTTTATTACCGTAACTCCAACTAGTTGATTAAAAAAGTAGATTCTTGGGGCCAGCAGATGGCATAATGGTTACATCGCTGGACTCCCATGTAATCAACCACAGTTTGAGTCCTGGACCTGGTGGCTTAAAACTTACACCAGGCACATGTGTGCCCAAGATCCTGAGAGGAGAATGGACGAGAAGGGATTGTGGCGTGGCTATCCCCCCTGAGGGGTGATTTCTCACTTTCTGTCTCTCTGTCTCTCCAGAAAGTGTACGTGCCCTATTAAAAAAATCTTTCACAAAAAAAAGAGTCTTAGACTTGCTTCTATAGAAAATAGGATTCATTTCCTTTTTTAAAATTATTTATTTTATTTATTAATGTTATTTTAAAATTTGTTTTAGGATACATGTGCTCACTAGAGAGAGAGAGAAAGAGAAAGCAAACCACCAGGTTTGAGACTTGAACTGTGGTCTGCTGTGCGAAATTCCAGCACTTCAAACACCATGCCACCTGCTGGCCTTGAAATTCAATTTTTAATGAGGAATTTTAAAAAAAATCATTATTATTAGGGGTATGTTATTCTTTTCTTTTCTTTCTTTTTAAAAAATAATTATTTTATTGGGACCAGCAATTGGCTTAGGGCTATGTCACTGGACTCCCATGTAGTCAACTGTGGTACGAAGCCCAGACCTGGTGACTTAAACTCACGCTGGGTGCGTGTGCATGCATGTCCAAGATCCTGAGAGGAGAATGGAGGAGAAGGGATTGTGGCGTGGCCATCCCCCCGGGGGGGGGGTGATTTCTCGCTTTCTATCTCTATGTCTCTGTCTTTCTGGCAAGCACATGCACCCTATAACAAAAACAAACAAACTAACTAACAAAAAACACCTTTGCCACACCACAATCCCTTCTTCATTCCCCTCTTGGGATTTTGGACACACAGCACACACCCGGCCTCTGTGAATTTCAAGCCACGAGATCCTGGACTTGAACTGTGGTTGGCCATGTGGGAGTCCAGCTATGTCACCATTGCACCATCTATTGGTCCCAAGGTACAAGCACTTTGAACAGTCCTCTTCTGCCACCTTGCTGACATCCAATGGGGATGGTATTAAAAGGACAGAGGAGTGAGTTACCATCCTTAGGAAAAGCTGGAACAAGGAAACAAAACCACCCACAAGTCACAGATTCATCCTTTTTTTAAGAGATTTTTGCTATAGGGAGCATGTGCTCACTGAAGAGACAGAGAAAGTGAGAAATCACCTCCCGGAGGGATGGCCATGCTGCAGTCCATTCTCCTCTGGGAATTCTGGGCATGCACATGCACTTGCCTGGCATGCGTTTCAAGCTCCTGGGTCTGGGACTCGACCCGCAGTTGGCCATGTAGGAGTCCAGTACTAACCACTATGCCCCCTGCTAGCCCCAAGACTCGTCCTGTTTTCCCGCCTCTGGCAACTTTTGCTCTTTGCGTCTTGTCTGGGCCCTAGAGTACTCTGGGCACCAACCTGGTCTCTGCCTACGCTCTGTGCCCTTCCTCTGTTCTGAGCTGAGGTGCCTTTTCCCATGGAAGAGGCACACTTTTCTGTATGGTTTCCAGAGGGCAGTGCCTTTTTTTTTTTTTCTTGGAGAGTTTTTGGCTTAGGGCACATGCCGTTGCTGGAGAGAGAGACAAACACAGTGAGAGGGTAATTGAGAAATCAGCTCCCGGAGGCATGGCCACACCGCAGTCACTTCCTTCTCCCAGGATCTTGGGCACACATGCACAGGCACCCAGCGTGATTTTCAAGCCACCAGGTCTGGGACTCGATATGCTGTGAGTGATTTTCAAGCCACCGGGTCTGGGACTCGATATGCTGTGAGTGATTTTCAAGCCACCAGGTCTGGGACTCGATATGCTGTGAGTGATTTTCAAGCCACCGGGTCTGGGACTCGATATGCTGTGAGTGATTTTCAAGCCACCAGGTCTGGGACTTGATATGCGGTGAATCCAGCAAAGTAACTGCTTCACCATCTGCTGGTCCTGACAATGCCTTTTTTTTTTTTTTCTTTGAGAGGTTTCTGCTATAGCGCGTGTGCACTCACCAGAAAGAGAGAGACAGAAAGCGAGAAATCACCCCCCAGAGGGTGGCCAGGCTGCAATCCCTTCTCTTCCATTTTCCTCTCGGGATCTTGGGCACGCATGCACACGCCCAGTGTGAGTTTAAGCCACCGGGTCTGGAACTCCAACTGCAGTAGACTACATGGGAGTCCAGCAACATAGCCATTATGCCAACTGCTGGCCCCGACAATGCATTTTTAATTAAAAAAAAAAAGAAGAAAAGAAAAAGTAAGACATGAAAGAGTAAATATTACACTTTTTCGTGCTACTTTCTCTTCCCCCTTCACAGGGTAGATAGTCCTCATGAACAGCTTTGTGCCTGTTCCTGCCTGTGTGCAGGGCTGAGTGCAGTCCTCAACACATGTGCATATGTAGATGACATACTCCCTCTGTTCCTTCTTGCCACTGTCATTTCCCCCTTCTGTTCTTCTTGTTCTGGCTTTCAAAGACCTGCCGAAGCAGGTTGGAGAGTAGGAGGCTTGGTCTCCTGAGGAGAGAAGTGTGAGCCCATGGCGTCCACAGCACCTGTGAGGTCAGGCAAGGGTTAACACATGAGCCTTGAAGCTCTCAAGTGTGGTCAGGGTGTGCCTAGGGTCCAGTGTGGTCATCTCCTTTTCCAGGTGCTAAAATCGCAGCCCCCCACCCCCACCTCCCTCGGAGACACAGGAGCCATTCAGTCAATGTCATGACCACCTTACCTGGGGTGGAGTTGTATCTGTGTGCCTGGGCCTGGGGCCCCCGGAATGCATGGCCGCTCTGCCTGTCCTAGGTGCTGAGTGACGAAGTGAAGAGGAAGCAGTACGACGCCTATGGCTCCTCCAGCTTTGACCCTGGGGCCAGCAGCTCCGGGCAGAGCTACTGGAGGGGAGGCCCCACCGTGGACCCTGAGGAACTGTTCAGGAAGATCTTCGGGGAGTTCTCCTCATCTTCATTTGGAGATTTCCAGGGTGTGTTCGAACAGCCTCAGGAAGTAAGTTTCTCATTCTGAGGACCCTCCAGTTGTAGACTGTCAAATGTGATGCAGCCTTACAGTTCCAGTTCCTCAAAAAGGCCAAGCAGCTCAAAGCGGATGATCTGGAGGCAGCCATTTTGGTAGAAAAAATTCCAGTATTTGAAAACTCCTGTAGGGGATAACGGGCCCGTTGATTTCCACCAGTTGCTCTGAGCTTGGACCTGAGCCTGCAGTGACAGACTAGGGTGTGCTGTACAGGACCTGCTGTGTTATCTGGGAGAGCCCAGTCCAGGGGGCACTGCCAGGCCCTCCCGTCTGAGGTCACGTGTTCCCGAGATTTTGCAGAGTTGAAGAGGGGCACATTGATGACCCAGTAATCCTTTGAGACGGTGGATTGCTCGAGTGTTTGTGAGTGCCTGTGTGAGTGTTGTCCACGGATGTTTTAATTTGTTGAAAAGTATGTTCTCACTTATTGAGACACACATTTGCTCTCAAGAACACCAGGGAGTGAGGCAGAGTGAGTGAAGGGCATCCCCGTCCTTACATGGCAGAGCACACGTGGGTAAGGTGGTGAAGTGGCAGCCGCAGCGCTGGCCAGGGCCCTGCTTTCCCTCCAGGGGAGCCTCACCTGGTCGTCATGAATCGAGAGTGACAGGCCGTCCTTTGGTCCTTTAGTACATCATGGAACTGACTTTCAACCAAGCTGCCAAGGGCGTGAACAAGGAGTTCACCGTGAACATCATGGACACCTGTGAGCGCTGTGATGGCAAGGGGAACGAGCCTGGCACCAAGGCGCAGCACTGCCACTACTGCGGGGGCTCCGGCATGGTAAGGGGGGCTCCACCCCACCGCTCCCTGTCTCCACCCTCCACACCGTCCCCCTTAGCCACCCCACACACTGCTCCCCATCTCCACCCCACACACTGCTCCCCATCTCCACCTCCCACACCGCTCCCCATCTCCACCTCCCACACACCGCTCCCCATCTCCACCCCTCACACTGCTCCCTGGTCTCCACCCCACACACCGCCCCCCATCTCCACCCTCCACACCGCTCCCCGGTCTCCACCCCCCACACTCCCATGGGCACGCTCATTCCACAATCCCTTTTCCTCAGTTTTTCCCTTCTGTTAGGGTTTTGTGCATGCACGCACATACCCAGCATGTTTTGCAAGCCTCTGGGTCTGGAACTCAAATTACGCAGTTGGCCAGGTGGGATCTGGCTGTCTTAACCACTGACCTCCAGCTGGCCTAAGGCCTGTTACCTAGATTCTCCTATCTTCAACATTTTTGTCTCATTTGCTTTGTCATTTCTGGGGTGCTCGTTCTTTCTGTCCTCATACACGTACTCTTCATGCGTGTCCCTGTCACATACAGTCCTACTCTTGGCCATTTGAGAGTAAGTTATAGATGCTGTATCTTCAGTCCTGAGTACTTCAGTGGGTGTCACCTTTTTTTTTTTTTTTTTGAGAGTTTTTTGCTATAGGGCGTGTGTGCTTGCCAGAAAGACAGAGAGAGACAGAGACAGAAAGCAAGAAATCACCCCCCAGGGGGTTGGCCATGCCACAATCCCTTCTCCTCCATTCTCTTCTTGGGATCTTGGGCACACATGCACACGTGCCAGGCGTGAGTTTAAGCCACCGGGTCCGGGAATCGAACCATGGTTGATTACATGGGAGTCCAATGACATAGCCATTACGCCAGCTGCTGGTCTTGTGATGTGTCCTTTTCACAGACCCTCTCAGGAGTCGTGAGATGTTGCTTTGTCTCGATGTTAAAGGTGATTATGATTATCTTGTGAAGCTGGTGTCCGCCAGGTCTTTTTTTTGCTATAAAGTTGCTTTTTACTCCTTTGAAATTAGTAAGTACATTATGGTGAAATAAATTGAGACTATATAAATACCCTTTTACTCTCCAAACTTTTGCCCACTATAGAATCCATTGATCATTCTCACTTAAACCCTTTACTAGGAAGGTTGCAAAATGGTGATTTTCTAATTCCAACATGCTCTAGATTTGTTAATTGGCATTCTGCCGAAATGAAGAACTTCCTCTTTTCCATTTATTTGCTTGTTTTATATCAGTGCGGAGTTTGGGGTTCTTTCTTTATTCATCAGGTGCTTACTCTGATGCTCATTGCCCGACTTTCAGTGCCTCCTACTTGGTTTCTCAACTAGGTATCCTGGGCTCTACTTATGGTTTATCTGCCAAGTCCTAGAAGCAGACGTTCCCAGAGAGCCCTGGCTCCGATTAGTGCCAGGACTTAGAAGCAAAGACCTGAGTTCCACGTGGACTTATTCTGAGTGTCGCTGCCCTAAGCCTCTCAAGCAGGTTGAGCCAGGGAAGAGAGCATGCGCACACGTGTGTACATACACACACACAGCTGTACCGCTTTACATGCACCCAGTCAGGTATCTGGGTGCACGCACGCTTACATACCTGTCTGTTTAGTCACACATGCAGGTGTATGTGCACACACAGTACATTTCTGCCTGTCTCAAACCACGAGTCTGACCTCATACCTCCTCTTCTGTTGCAGCCTGGACAGTGCCTTCTAGTTCTGTCCTGTTATCACTGTTTCTAACAAAGAAATCTGGCTCTAATTATCCTCAGCGTATTTCTTCATCTGCTCAGTCCTGTAACACACTAGGGCAGTTTCAGACTTGTTAACTCATACCATGTGGAAAACAGCTTACTGGCATTCCATATTTAGAATTCTTTGTTTAAAATAATTGTTTATTTCACTTTATTCATTCATTCATTTATTTTAATTTGACCAGAGAGAGAGACAGAAAGAGCGAGCGAGAGAGAACGTGAAAAAGCAAGCCACCAGGTACAGGACTTGAATGATGGTCAGCCATGTTGAAGTGTCCAACGCCTTAACCACCACGCTGCCTGCTGGCCCCTAAAGTTCTTTTTATCTTTGGACTGAGGGTATATAAAGTTAAAAGGCTCTACTCAGAAGTTACTTAGGTGGGCTGGCCCATAGCCTGATGGTTAAGGAAGCCAAATCCCACATGACTGACCACAACTTGAATCTTGGTCCTGGTGACTTAAAAAACATGCTGGGTGCATGTGTGCACATGCGTGCATGTGTACCTCTAATCCTGACTGGATGGAGAAACGGAGAAGTAACTTCTGAGTTACTTAACTTGTTGGTTCACAACAATGCCCACAGCATGCTGGGTAACAGTGTAGACTGTCCCAGTTTTGCCATGGTAACATTTGTGGGGCATTCCTTTTTGAACAGTACCCATTCCCACACTGTCTACAATATCACCCTTCTTGTAGATTCGCATATATGTCGCCAAAGGAACCACTCCATGTTTTCTAAAAGGCCTAGAGAACATATATCGGTTGCCTCTCCTCTTTGCCTTTGTGTTCGTCATTTTGGTTAATTACTGGAAGATGGCGGTTCTGGCCAAAAAGCTGCATCATGACTTTTCTGACAACATTCAGTATTTATATGAAATGTGATTAAGGTATTTTTTTTTTTACTGTGGTAAAATATATATAAGATTAACCACCTTAACCATTTTTAAAGGTACAGTTCACTGGCATTAAGTGCATTTGTAATATTGTATCCCATCATCACCATCTATTTACAGAACTCTATCTTATAAAACTGAAACTACATTAAACAGTAACTTCCCACGCCACAGACCCCCTACCCCAATCCCTGGTTACCTCTTTCCATCTCCATGTTTTTTTAAGAACTTTTTTTTTTTTAACTTTACTCATCATTGTCATTTATTTTAATTTGAGCAGAGAGAGATACAGAAAGAGAGGGAAAGTGAAAAAGTAAGCCCCAGGTCCAAGCCTCAGTCCAGGGTCAGCCAAGTGGGAGCCCAGCTTCCCGGCCACTTCACCATCTGCCAGCCCCGCCAGCCCCGCCCTCGCTCTGATTTTGACTGAGTACCTCACATGAGTGAAATTGTACAGTCTTTGTCAGTGTGACTAGCTTATTGCACTCAGCACAGTCTCCTCAAGGTTTATTCTATATGTCAGAATTTTTTCCCTTTTTTTTTTTAGAGAGGTTTTTGCTATAGGGTGTGTGCACTCACCAGAAAGACAGAAACAAAGAGAAAGAAAGTGAGAAGTGACCTCCCTGGGGGATATCCACACTGCAATTCCTTCTCCTCCATTCTC